TGGCTCCCCGAGGCCCGCGCTTCTTCGCCCTTCAGGATCCGCGGCGGCTTCTCCTCCCCTCCGCGCGGCCTCAACGACAGCCGCCGGTCCGTTTCTTTCCTCCCTTCTGCGGCGGCTCAAATTCAAACTCACCCCGCCGCCACCTGATTGGCTTTTCCGTAAGACGCCGCCGCGCAGGCCCCGCCCACATCCCCCCTCCGTACAGGAACGTCCCTTCGCTCCATGGGGGGAGGAGGGACGTTTCTACTGTGGCCAATAGGAGGGCGGAAATGTGGGCGCTTGCCTCTCCGCGTCCGGTTGGGAGGGGCCCCAGCGCCAGAGGTGGGAGGAGGGGAGGGATTGGCCGGCGGTGGCAACGGGGCGCCCCGGCTTCTCGTAGCCATGGCAACCGCCAGGCCCGGGCCTCCCGTAGTAGGCGAGCTTTTAAGTGATGGCGAAGTGCAGGCGGACCCTGGAATAGTTCCGAGTAGTTAATGGCCGCTATAGTGACAATTGGGGAGAAAAAGCTCTTTATTTTCCTACTTCTGGCAGACGCTAATGTGGGAACGTTCGAAACAACCGTTGCGTGTGATACAAAACGCTAGCTCTTGTTCACTTCGTTGTCATCTCGACAACCAAAAGAGCGGGTGGAGGAATACGGGGGGGGGGAGTGTCTTCCTTCTCAAATGAGTGAGACTCCCCCCCCCACACACACACACACCCTCATAAGGACAAAAATAACTGAAAACTCCGTTCCTCTGTAGGGAAGTTGAGCTGGTATGAGATTGGGAATGCCTTCGTTAACAGAAAACAGAAACAGTTATGTGTTCATTACCAGGGAAATTAATACATGAAATCAGAAGAAACTAACTTCTATGTTATGTACACAGGTCATGGTATTCCAAGAAATGGAAATTCTAGTATCTGCATTAGTGTAATGTTCTCATTAGATTAACCAAAGTGTTACCATCCAATTCTAGGTTTCAATTCTCTGGCAGGAAAAACAGATAAAAAACAGTCCATGTTCAGTCTATGTAAGCCAATTTATTAAACATAGAACTTGACCCCGTCCTAAAGCCGGATCGGAGGTCCTCATCATACATTGGTAAAGCATTTTATAAGCTTCTTACAAAGGACAACAAAGCACAGCATCCCCTCATTGGCCTCCTGAACCCCATGTGTGCCCGATGGCCCATCCCACTGGCCGTGGTAGATGTGAGAAAAAAAATATCCAAATTGCATCCCAGGGTTAGTGTCTGCCAAGTCTGTGAATTTGAGTGAACCATTGTGTAGTTAGAAACATGTTACAGTCTTTTGCCTGAGGCACTGTGAATGTTATCTGTGTGATAATGTAGGAATGCTTATGTGAGTGCCAAGTGGGATGGGTCAGGAGCACCAAGAGAGAAATGAGGATACGAAATACATTGTCTATAGAGAATATATATAAATATAGATACAAAAATGGATATAGTGTTATAGTAAGGAAATAGTGAAATCATATTTCAATTACAGGTACAAGGTATGATTACTTGTGTAAGTACATGTGAATCAAATAGCATGTGTTGTCTTAAATTGTAAAGCCAGTACTTCATATATCTTATATCAGAACCTCATCCTTGCCCCCTTATCTATCACAAGGAACTGGGAACAAAAAAATAACTCTCCTTTCTCTGTTTTTTCTTCTTTGGGACTCTCCAAGGATTAGGAAAAATCAGAAGGGTTGGACTTACAGGAAAATGGGAAGGTTGGGAATCTGAAGACTGAGGTAAGTAGGAGGTGCTAGGAAACACCAACTTCAGTCACCAACGGCTGAAAAGAAGTGAGGAGAGTGACCGTTGGGCACGGTGTTCTACTCGGAGGGAGGGGGAAGGCTCCTCTCTTCTTGCATTCCATGGAAGCTTCGGGATTCCAAGGTTCCATGGATGTGCAGAAAGGCCCCATGTGTGTGATTCACAGGGACCATGAAGAAGAACAGAAAACTTCATACCTTAATGGAGTTTACCTTGGGGTCTCTCTGTCTGCCTGTTCTTTGAAGAACAACGATTCCCTTTGTAC